TATATATATATATATATATATATGTATATGTGTGTTTTTTGCAGTATAAAATCTAACTGGATATTCACAGTTTGACATTTTCTGTGCTGTGTTTTCTGTTTCAGCCATTCATTATGGAATGATTTAACCTAACGCACCAAGAAATGTGTGCAGTACAGTAACGTGGATAAAACTTGAATATTTATTAATATAAAAAAAGAAAGAACGTGTTGCTTTCATCATATTTACTTATTAATTGTGTACTTTGATGCTCTGGTGAGCGTTTGTGACTTTTTGTGTTGCACAACACAGTCACGTTGTTATTTATGAAATAATTGCATGTTTATATAGGTTGAACGAGAAACATGAGACTGTTGATTTAAGATTTGCATTGTCCAATGTTCACTTTTTTGTTGAGCATGACTTCAGATCATTTTTAAAGTCACCACTAAAGTAACGGAAGTCGAGTGGACGTCATTTATTCACTGATGAAGTCGTTGATTTTTTTTCACGACTTTAATTGCTAAAAAAAAAACTTAACTCATGTAAGAACACAAGACCATGTCCTGGGCTGGGTGAAGACTCACTAGCTGTCACGCGACGCTATTTCCAGCCAGAGAAAATGTCTTCTTGATCGATCTGCTGGCAAGGGAGGGGAATGGTGCGGGGGGCAGTAAGGAAACCAATTCCCATTCTGAGCCCACCACAGCAGCAGCTGTGTTTGCATTGTGGCATTTGCGGTGTTTGCAAATAATTGCAGACCTTTTTGTGTGTGGTAGAAACATTCTCTCCTCTTCTTCCACTTTGATTTTGCGGGCTGAAAAGTTGTTCTGAATCTTGGTTGAATCTGTCTCTTTTTTCCCTATGCTACTTCAGAATTCAGAAATAGAAGCCAATTTAAATGAATCAATGTGACAAACTCATTTCATTCAGCACACTCATCTCTTTCTGAAAGCGGCTCTGCCTCCTTCTTAAGGCAAAAATACGCAATTAGAGGCTTCCGGATGTCACACTCGAACCGTCATTGCGGAGTAGTAAAATCGATAAATCCAGTGAGTCAGTCTTCAATCAAGGAGAATGTACAAACCCCACTCTGTTGTTGTGCATTCCTTCTTTTCTTTACCCAACTCTTCCCGTCACCTTGCCATCCATTTCCTTGTTTCCCTTGTTAAACCTTCAGGCCACAAGATTATCTCTGGCCTAAAACTCAGTGAATGGGTGTGCTGAACCTCACCGGTCTGTCTCCTGCTGCCGATGTCTTTTTGGGATAGGGGGAAGTTGTTGATGGTTAAAGATCGTATTGTGGTGGCATTTGATTAACCAACGCAAATGTGAGGCCAGGATAGATATCCGTACACTTCTTGACCATGCTGCTCTGTCTTGCTCATCACCGTAAACACTTACCTTGCCATCGTGCTCACTTCCTTCCCGTGCATGCTGCTCAGCGATCTTAACCTATCTGCATGTGTGTCTTCATTTCACAACAAAGAGATCCGTTTTTAATTTGCCTATAAAGAACTCCTAAGGTGCACCAACAGCAGAAAACACAAATTGGCTGTTAGCATGCGCGATAAGATTTCTCATATTTAATTGGTTTAAAAAAAGTCGACCGGCATGTGAGGTGGTAGGTTCTTGTGTATTCCTCCCAGCATGTTTTGTCCACAGTGGGGCTTGGTCATTTAATGAGCCTCCTCTTCCTCTACTCCATCATCCACCAGAAAGGCCCCACATTCAGCATTTTCACCCTCCTGCTCTCTGGTCCTGACGGACATCCAGTGTTGTTGTAGGTGTTAAATTATGCATAAACAATCTAAATGCTTTGAGGCATTGGTTTAATATCAGCCCCACGGCCTTGGCCTTACTGGTATTAACACTCTCAAAGGCATGGATTGTTCTCTTGTGGACTGCTTTTTTTATTATTATGAGTCATAAACTGCGTGTCACTTCAGGAATTGAAGTAAAACTTTAAAAACTGTTGCTTGGAACGCAAAAGTTTGCAGAGTTTGCAACCGTCTGTTTTTCCTGCAGCTGAGGCATTCCCCCTCCATGATTACAGTTCTCTTGACTTAAGAGTTGGAGAGAAAATATATAAATAGTCATGATTTCATGTTGGGTGTATGATTTGACTGTTAACAGGATGGGGCTGGCTCATGTCAGGATTTTTATGTCCTCCTGTCTTGTGAGATTGTCTGGTCTGTTCCCAGAATAGCCCATCAGTTCCGCCCTGTATGGCTCATCCGCAGTAATGTGCGTTAATGCCCGGGCCTGTATGAGTACTGTGAGGCCTGGCACTGACAGTCGAGGAGCATCTTAGCTTGCTGCTTATCCAGAGAAACCGTCACTTAATGCAGACCCTCTATTGTCTATTCACACCCCTCTCCTTCTCCTTTGACGTGATTCTCTGTAATCCTCAAACAGATTTTAGTTAGAACTCGCTAAGAACTATTTTTATGTTCCCCCCCACCCCCCACTTATTCCCTCCCATTGAAACATTAACAGTTGTTGCAGATGAGGAGAAGGATCCCTATGAGGATGATTATAATGTCACCCTACTGATCTCCTGCCTCCCCGTAATAATTGTACATCATCGCTTCGTAATGTGTCAGAGGGACACGTTGGTAGCGTGCAGTTTAAACAGCCGGATATAATACACAGAATTACTGCCTGTCAAGCCTACAG